CAGCAAATGTGACACGAGTGCTCTATAACAATCATTCTGTGAGGATGTTAACCCTTTGGTGCTCTGAAATGTGTCCAAAGCAGGCCCCCATTCCCTTCTGTCCCTTACACGCAGCTGCTCAGGGTCCAGCGCTCTTATCCTCTCCCCTCTCAAAAGAGCAAGCACCCCTGAGGATGCTGCTTGCAAGTTGAACTGTAGCACTGAAGGAAAAGTATCTCACTCCACTGCACAAGAACAGCAAGAAAGAGAGGATTCCTGGCACAGCAGGAAAGCCAAAATGTCCCTGGAGTAATTCCAAAGTCTTGCAGACCAATGTATTTTTACAGCATCACAAAAACATGAGATCTTATTTTTCAAGAGTCCTGATTATAGGTTAGTGCCTTCTGCACTTCCTTTTTGCTTTCTTTTAGATATGAATTTATTAAGAAGTATTGAAACTGACCTCTTACTGAAATTTTTCTGTGCCAACCTACCACTTTTTGTTGGCATATATGTTTAAAGCATTATTTTCCTCCCTCTATTGAATTTCATTCTTAAATGGCTGAAATAAATTTAGAAGTGTGGGTATTTGTTGAGCAATGTTTAAGATCAAGCACTATTTTTTGCCATTTAGCCATCATAACAAGCATATACTCAGCAGACATTCTGAATAAAATTCCATTGTATGGAATTGTCCTCAGCTGTGAATTATATTTTTCATGACAGATTTACTCCTCTGACAGAGAAAATTCAATATGTAGCTGTGTTTCTCCAACAGATAAGCTTTTTATCAGCAGCCATGCTTCTGTGGCACTCTTCTGGGCTGCTGCCAAGCTTTTCCACCCTCCCTTTCATGAGCAGATCAATGTGCAAATATTTGAAAACCCTAAATAATATAATAGCTACTTGAATGCATGCTCAAAAAAACCCCAAAAAACCTCAACCAAAACAACACAGAACAAAATAAATTTCAAAACTCTCACACCTACATAGTGTACCTAATGCAAATCTACAAAACCAAGGAGCAGGGCTGCCATTCCCAAAGCTCCCTGACCCACGGACCATATAGATCAGCTTTTCCTCTAAGCCACAGTGGAAGCCTACCTTCCTGTGCCTCTTTGCCACATCACCCCTCAGACAGAACATGCAGTGCCAGCTTCAACTGGAGTTGGTAATGTTGGGAAGAGGAGTCTGGGTAAAGAACATGACAAAGAATAAGTGGATAGGAGAGATTATACTGTGTTGTGTTTTTCACTATGCATAGGAGCAATGCTGAGGTGTGTAGGGTGTACAGCCACGGGTTAGAATTCAGCCTAAAATTCAGAGGTGACCAGCAGGTGCAGCTGTGTTGTCTACTGTGGTTGCTGAGGGCATCCTCTGCTGATAATTGAGCACCCTGTGTTTTTAACGAGGCAGTGAATCTTTTCAGCTCACACTACCACACAAGCTGCTGGCTTTAGCCCAGGCGCATTTTATCTCCTCTGCTCTTGTGAACTGTTTCTCTGTTCTCCTTCTTGCAGTGGAATAAGAACCTGTGGAGATAAGATCCTTTTTCTCCCCTGTTGCCCTTCAGATGAGAGGCTGTGTGCTTGGAGTGATGCCCATTAGCGGAAGCGATGCTGGAATACTGGAATCAAAAAATTCCCCACAGAGAAACAGCAGCGGTAAAAGAAGAAGGCTGAATAAAATGAAGTGACCTTGGTGGACAGATATTAAAGGGGAAAAAAAATGGGAAAAGAAATGAGGAAAACTATCTGGAAATGGGTTAATTTTTGAGGGCAATATAAAATATAAAAAAGTACAAGAAAAGGAATGGGAAGTAAACAAAAATGTCACAACAAGCAGAATGAGAAGGCATAAGCAATAAAACAAGAGAGGCAAAAAGATTAATCAAATCTCTTCTTACTGCAGGGTTGTACCACAACTTGCCTTATGGTTTTTTTTAATGCAAATCTATAAATAAACCTCGTTGGCTTTTTTTCCCCATTGGGAGGATATAAAAGATGCTAATAAGTTCTTACAAAGGGTAAATAGTTTAAGGGGATGATACTAGTGATACTGAAGTGTTAAAATGAAGATCAAAGCTAGGACTGCCTGTATAGGGTCTCTAGGTTATCCATACACTGCTGCAGCTCTAACAGATTAAAGACTCATTTGAACATAAAAAGATGAAAAATCATATGGATCACAGCCATTATAATAATGCCTTGATTACAAAACATAGTTAAGGCACAATTTTTTCAGGCTCAGACCAAATAGCTCTTTATGAATAGCTCCATTAAAATTAGTGGAATCATCTTGGTGGGATCTGTTCCTCATCAAGAGTAAGTATTTCCAAGGTCAGTCTGCTCAAGCTCAGTGACATTTTTCTACTCTTAGACCAATTTCCATTCTGACCCCTGGAGTAGTAAGGGTTATAGTGATGTTTTGACGGTTCACTTCCATCAGCAGCAGTGCAGTTATATGGAGAAATACTTTTCATAAGGAGAAGAATCTGTGCTTTGCAACCTAAATTCACCAGAGCTTTGAGTATTGTTAAAGTAGGTGTTAGTTCCAGCGGCAGTCTCAGGTGCCATGGGGATGAAGGTTTCTGCATTGAAACTCTACAACTCCTTGGCAACAAGGGCTGTTCTGGGACCAGTAGGACAGGTAAACAAGTGTAGCTCTCCCTGCTCTCAAAGCCATAGCTCTCTTGGGCATTAACATTTCAGACTCACTCAGCAGGTTAAAAAAGACACTGAATAGTGTAAAAGTCACACCACAGAACAGAGAAGAACAGATCACCTTTTCAATCTCCATTTCAAATGTCACCTACTATAGTGATTTGCTCTCGAGTCAAGTCAGGTTTGTGGAGAGAAGAAAAGTTGTGTTCGAAAGAGGATGTGCTTCTGAGATGGTTTCTTTCTTGACATCTCCCGTGTCAAGTGCCAACGATTCTAAGATTTTACATAAACTCTAGAGTAGGATTGGAAATGGATATGTAAAATTCAGTGTATTAGAACTCTGGAAGTTGCAAGACCCAGCTAAAAAGCAGCAGGTTTGGTGTTCATACCTTTACATTTCCACCATTTACCTGTCTGTTCATTTTTTCTCTGATGTCTCAGACCTGATGCTACTATTATGCACGTTATGATCACTGTCACCTTCCACACAGGACAGGTAAAGAAAGAAGGCAGAAGTCCATGAAAAAGCTACCGTGCCTTCATAATTACCTTTAGGATTATGGCTTCCAACATAGACTTGAAATTTGTAACATGGATTTCCCTATAGGTCTGCAAGAAATCTTTTAGAGTGCATCCACTCCTGCTGCTGACAGATGGTAGAGCAGAGAACAGCGGCTATGAAGATAACAGCATTTCACCCACGGGTTTTTCATACTATGTAATAGCATAAGGTAGCTGTGCAATCAGTGCTGTTTCAGAACACTTCTTGCAGCACTGAGGTTTCTGGCTGGAGGTAGCCCAAACATACAATCAATCTAGAAATTCTCAATCTCAGCACAGAGGTCAGCACCTAGAAGAAGAAGATACCTAGCCAGATGACAGGCAGGTTTATGTGGGTCATGGCTGTTTCTACTGTGTGCCAGAGGGCAAACCTGCTGCTTTTCACCCTGAAATGGGGAACTACAAAGCTTTAAACCCCTCGGGAATATTTCCCCCCTCAGCTTGTCATGAGAGCGGCTGGATGAGATACAAAAAGGAACTGCAGAGAAGAAAGACTGAAAAAAATTGAAGCTTTAATGTATTCCTACTCTCTGACCCCATTCCTCCTTTTCTGTGCATCAACAGTTTTAATAATCTGGCAAAAGCAAACCCTGAACCAAGAAAACCCTTTCCTAACCAGTGTCACAAAACATTACGATGTTTTAATACGTTATCTCTTCTTCTCTTTTCTTTTTTTTTTTTTTTTTCGTTTCATTCGATACCACTTAGTTCCTCATTTTTTAAATAGCTGTTCTGAAAAGACCAGTTTGCATCTTAAAACAAACAAAATTAGGATCTGCTTATGGATTTGAGCTTAATATGGTTAAGCCGCTGTTAAACAAGATAGATGAATAACAATAATAAAAATCAGTAAAATCACTCTTACATATAATCTCTTCACTATGAAGTAAGTGCTACATCCACGCTAAGCGTATGTAAACAAAACAGATGGGGGATTTCCCACTGCTGGTTTCTTTCTTCTAAGGGTGGTTATTTTCAGTTCATAAACTCTCAGCTGTCATCCCTGATTTATCTTCGCGGCAGATTCCTGTTGGGGTCACAGGGCTGGGAGCTGGGGCGATGTGGCACGTCCCCCGCTCGCTGCGCTCTGCCGCCCCTGCCAGCCACAGTGCTCGTAGCTGGGGTTCGCGCTTCCCTTTTAACCCCTTTCTCATCCCTCCCTCTGTCAGTGCCTGACATTTTGTGCATCCTGGTGGTGCTCCAGTATGGTGAGAGCCCTGTGAAGGAGAGGCACGAGCTTAGATAGTTGGTGAGCATCCTCCTTTAATTCGGTGACGGGAGAGAGGGCTACTAGAGATAACGAAACCCCGCCTGCGTTCAATCTGGTACCCAAACAATGGCTTTATTTAAAGATATTAAGACATCGCTGCGTAGAGATCCTTTAAAAAATGTTTTAGCCTTTCCCAGCCGTAGAGAGAGCGACCACTTTATTTGCTGGGAAAGGGCTCTTCCCGCCCCTTCCTACTCCTGCCCTGCCTCCGCCCCCCGCCTCCCTTCCCCATATATTATTACTCTATGCCACCAACGTTAAAACAGTCCCACCGCGCTGGCTGCCCGCGCCCCGGCGGGCGGCCTTTCCGCCGCTGCCCCGCCGCTGCCCGGGCCGTGCGGAGCTGTCTGTCCGCGCCGGGTGCTGAACCGCGCGGGGCGGCAGCGGCGCCCGGAGCCCTCCCGGCCTCGCCCCGGCGCCCGGAGCGGAGGGAGGCGGCGGAGGGGGCGCCGCGGGGGATGAGGGGAGCCGGCGGCCACCCCGCGCCGCCCGCCTGAGGAGCCCGCGCACAAAGCCGCGCCGCGGCCATGGAAGAGGAGCTGAAGTGCCCGGTGTGCGGCTCGCTGTTCCGGGAGCCCATCATCCTGCCCTGCTCGCACAATGTCTGCCTGCCCTGCGCCCGCACCATCGCCGTGCAGACCCCGGAGAGCGAGCAGCACCTGCCGCCCCTGCTCCACTCGCGGGGCCCCGCGCCGCCCGCAGCCGCCGCCGCGCCGGGAGCGGGGCCGGGAGCGGCCGCGGGCTCCGCCGCCTGCCTGGACTCGGAGAGCGCGGCGGGCGGCGGCGGCGGCGGGGACCACGCGGACAAGCTGAGCCTGCACAGCGAGACCGACAGCGGCTACGGCTCCTACACCCCCAGCCTGAAGTCCCCCAATGGCGTGCGGGTGCTGCCGCTGGTGCCCGCGCCCCCGGGGGCGGCGGCGGCTCCGCGGGGCGCCGGCCCCGCCAGCTCCTCCCTCACCTGCCCGCAGTGCCACCGGAGCGCGTCCCTGGACCAGCGCGGGCTCCGCGGCTTCCAGCGCAACCGGCTGCTGGAGGCCATCGTGCAGCGCTACCAGCAGGGCCGCGCCGCCGCCGCCGCCGCCGCCAAGTGCCAGCTGTGCGACCGCAGCCCGCCCGAGCCGGCCGCCGTGCTGTGCGAGCAGTGCGAGGTGCTGTACTGCGCCGCATGCCAGCTCCGCTGCCACCCGGCCCGCGGGCCCTTCGCCAAGCACCGCCTGGTCCCGCCGCCCGCACACCCGGGCGCCCCCGGCGGCGGCGCGGACGGCGGCGGCGGCGGGAAGGGGGCGGGCGGCGGCCGCAAGCTGCCGACGTGCGCCGAGCACGACCTGGAGAACTACAGCATGTACTGCGTGAGCTGCCGCAGCCCCGTCTGCTACCAGTGCTTGGAGGAGGGCAAGCACAGCAAGCACGACGTGAAGGCCCTGGGAGCCATGTGGAAGCAGCACAAGGTGAGTCCCGACAGCCGGCTGGCAGCTGGAGTGATGCCCGGAGCTGAGGTGATGCTCAGCACTGGGGTTTGTTCATCCCAATGCCCCAACGGCGGGTTGCAGTTTGTAGGACATGAGGTTTTTCATGTCCATCATCCTCTCAGACATTTCTCCCTTCGTAACGGTGCCCTTAGGTTTTTGGTCCTTCCTGACTTCCCACTGACCCCACAGCCTCTGCTCAGGGTTGGAAAACACAGACTTCTTCCCATGTTGGCATCACCTTGACCAGTGAGGTTCAACCAAGTCTCAGGCAGATAGCTGGAAATAGCAAGTCCATCTCACTAGCTTGTTTGCCTTCCACAGGGTCCTTGGCCATCCTGTCCTCAGCCTTCCCGTGCTGTCGCAGTGGCAGCAGCTACGTGTGAGGAGACAGGGTGGTTCTTCCTTCTTTTCACCACCTCCCTTTCATCCAGGACTCAGTGCGAGCTGCCACAACCGTATGTCAATGAGGGAGAGTGGCCCACAGCCACCCAAATGTTTTAGACAAGAAAGCATGGTACAGATGATCATGGACACTGAGTGTTCTCCTGGGCTGTAAAACGGTCTCCTCCCACTCTACTCCCAAAGAAGCCAGGAGTAATGGCTGGAGGGACTTTCATGACACAAAGATAAATAAGGAATTTTGGATGGGGACTAGGGACAAGTAAAGCTTTTTCTGATTCACATATCATCGCTGTCTGATTCATGCTTCCCTGAAAGAGATGCTCCCTACCCCTCCCTGGATTCCTTTCTGGAGACTTCAGAACCATTCACTTGGCTACACTGGTATTTAGTGAAGTCTGGTAGAGCTGGTGGATCACTTGGTCATGCTTTCCTTGCTAAAATAAGGCTTTGCAACCATGTGAATAAAGAGCAAGATGTGGCCTTAGAAGTTGAAAATGTATATGAAGTTATTTCTTTCTTGCTGAGGATGATGGACCCTGGAAAAAGGATTAGTTAATATATATGAATGTACAGAGGGGACTTCAATACCTGAGAGCTGAGGACAATCCTTTGGAACTTCCTGCTGTGCTGGGGATAAAGGACTTCTCCCACAGCTATGCAAAGAGCCAGCTCTGCTGGCTGCAGGATTCCCTTCTTTTTACTCTCTACTTGCAGTTAGCAGTAAAGAAAGCACAGAGAAATCCTTTCAGACAGTGCAGGAAAGGTGAAAATCAAGACTGGTGTCTTGTCTTGGTGAAAACCAAAGCAGGTGTCATCACCCTTTGGCCATAGTGTGGCTGAGCACAAGATAGGCTGAGGTATTTGGCAAGGCAAAAAATTGACTTTCTAATTTAAGATCCAAAGAAGATGCCCCTTGGGTTCAGGTGCACTGTTTATCAGTGCAAGAAGAAAGACAAACTTCTGAAGGTGTTTCAGTCTGGATGTTTTGCCAGCAGCTCAGCCATCATTACTCCCTAACACAAGTGTTTGTGCAGAGGAGTTCTCTTGGCCCAGAAGCAGCAGATTAAACTTTTGCAGCTGCTGTTCATATCACAGTGTCAGAATCCACTTCTGAGCAGAATTGTTTTGATGAGCAAGGTCTGAGTTCACAGTTCAAACGTGGCTGATGTTTTGGAGAGCATGAGAGACCAGCTTGTGATGTATTGTGGTCTACCTTGAGTTAAAACTGTTTGATGCCTTTTGGAACATTACAGTCCAGCGTAATCAAAGTTCAGAATCAGTAATTTTCTCTCTTTCCTACTGTCAAATATTCAAAGAAATCCTTTTGGCTTGTATTTTTACTGCATTTTTGTCTGTGACTAAGGTATCACAGAACATGATTTTTCTCTTGATTTGCATATTCAATCAAAGTCAAAATTCTATGAAAAGAAACCCTCAAAATTAAGTAATCTGGGAACTCTGAAATTATGCTCTTGTGAATATTATATTTTCCATAAAAATGTGCTTTGCACAAAATAAATATAATGGAACTGTATAGCCAGGCAGCCTAAATCATCAGCTCACACTCATTCAGATAAATTGTTTTGGAATTGGATACTTCTGCTTAGAAATAGTTCTCTGATACAGCAATTTCTACAAGTTTATTACCTGCAGTTACTTTGGCCAAACCATAAATTGCTTAAATTGACTGATATGCCAAATGTAATTTAAGGTTTATGTGTTCTCTCCAGATGCTCCAGGCATACCTGGTAGAGGCAGCAGAAAGGCTTGTTCCTAGACCAAGAAGCCTTCCTTGTGTTAGCCCTTTGTTTGGCTCCTCCTTTGTCTGGGCCTTATACAGTGGCAAATTATGGAGGGTATAACCTTGTTTAGGCAGGGCCTAGACCCTGCAAAGAAATGTGCACTTACCCTCAGCTGTACTGCAAATACCAAAGCTATACTGGACTGGTTGGCTCTTGTTAGTTAGTGGTGCAGGCTCCCCATTGCACTGCTCTATGTAACTTCTCCTACAGAGAAAGTAAAATTGGTGTAAAATAACAACAAAGCTCCAATGGCACAAATCTATGAAAATCCCTTGGTTTAGCTGGACTTCGTTATATTCACTTGCCTAAAAAGTGCATCTGGACCAGTAGTTCGAGGTTATTAACAAAAACTCTTAGTCTTCTGTTGAAGTTTAATCCTTTCACGTCTTCTTAGCAAGCACAGTGGTACTGCAATCACATTTAGGTAGGACTTCAGACTTCGGAATATGAGGAATGATGGGGGGACACATTTCAGCTCTGCCCATTCTAAAGGGTTAATTATACGTATGTACCAGAATGCTAAAAGCTCCCACAGCTGGATAGGTCTGTGAAGGGCAGGCAGGGAGGGAGTTGCAGGCAAGTGTAGGAGTTCACATTCCTGTTTTTATTTCCTGACCTGAAGACTTGTGTTCCCAAAAACATGTGTGTTTTATGAGAATTCAACGCCAGGACAAGCTTATTTAATCAATAGTCAATTTGCTGCTAAAGAGAAATGGAGGGAAGGCACGCTAAATGAGCATGAACTGTTTGGTTGAAAAAGGACATGGCCATTATCTGGTTCATTTCTGAAATTAGAGGTCTTCCCTGCCCATCTGGGTTTAATTACTTACCCTTGTGTTCTCTGTGTCCTGTAATTGATGGAAATAGAAACTTGGTATCCATCTCCAGCCCTCACATTATTGGTTGCAAGACCAGGTATTAAAGTAAATACCAGGTGGAATAGTGTTTGTTAGGAGTTATTAATTGTCCCAGTCAATGGAGCTTGTTACGTCTCAGTTCAGGCTTACAATAAATATTTCTGTGGTATGAAAGATTGCTCTGGATGTACAAGGCATTTTTAATGGCTTGGTTGGTTTACTGAGGGCTTAGTCATGTAGCTCCACTTGATTTTAATGAGAAGTGCATGACTAAATTCCTCTGATTTGCAAGGTATCTTTTACAATTGCTTGGAAAAAAACAAAGCTATTATCTCTAAGTGGGTTTCACAAATGGAAATCTGGTCTTCTACTTGGCTTCATGCTGCAGTGGAGTTAATGCAACCACAAGTTTTATTGAACAGATTGATTGCTTATGAGCCCTTTAGACAGTGACATGGGTGAGTTTCTGTTGCAGCTCTCAGTGATGGGAGCGTGCCAGGAGCCATGAGTGACTGTGCTGATTGTCATTGGTGTATATGCTGCTTACAATTCATCTGAGGTGGTTTTCTATAACTGCTATGATGCCCACATACTGCTTTTGTCTCTTCTGATCTGGTGAAATGCACTTTGAGGTCATTTGAGAGCTGGCACAGATGTTGGGAAAGTGGAAGTTTTACTTTTGTCAGGACCAACCACTGATTTTGGTTTGAAAGAAAAGAGCTCTTCCCTCCCTGGGACTATTTGGTCAGGACAGTCAATGACAGAGAATGTAATGCTTCTGCCACATATTTATTTCTTGCTTACACTCTAGCTATTTGGTCATTTGCTGCTTTCACCTTGTTCTGTGTCATCTTGACAAATCAAATGCTCAGATGTGCCCTGTGAGTGGAGCAGAAAGTGTGATCAGAAAAGGTGGGCTTCAAACTTTGGCAAACATGATCACCCTGTGCAGAGCTGACCTCAAGTCCTGATTTTCTGATCTGGCAGAAAACAGAGACTCTTTCATGGACCTGGAGTTTGTTTCTGTGGCCTCCCGTAGAGTTAATATCAAACATCATCATTTCAAGTTTTTGTGCATTTACAAGGGTTTGTGTAGGAAAATAGTAAAGATTCAAATATTGAGAAATAAGCACAGTAACGTGTCTTCCCTTTATATTTGTTATGAAATAATTTTGTAAAGCATATTCTCATTTAGAATTTAGCACTAATGTGCTTTCAAGGGGCCACTTTCCAGCCTCTTGTTCCCCAGTCTTACGTATGTCCAGGGCTGCTCCATCCCAGGTGCAGGACCTCGCAGTGACATCAGCCAGATCTTTGAGTACACTTAGTGAATCCTATTGGGACTCACAGACTTACAGGGATCCATCTGGAGTAGCAAATCCTGCACAAATTTGGGGTTGACTAGGAGAATCAGTCTCACAGTCACATTCCTCCAGCTCAGGGCACTGGGACCCCCAGAATGCACCACTAGGTCTGTCAGGGGCAAAACTTCCATCCTGTCCTTGAAGTTCATCAACAAACCTCTGGTTTAGCTTAGAGATCTCAGCTGTTAGCTGAAGAAAGGGAAGGTTAGGCCTAGGGTGTGGACTTAAAAAAGACGTATTCTATGTGCCTTACTGGTCAAAAGTTAGAGGAAAGGTCTTTTCCAACTTTGCTGAAACATTCCTCCATTTGTTGAGTTGGAGCATGGGAAACTGGAGCCCCGAAGGGACATTAGTATGAAGTCTGAGAAGGCAGATTTGTCTTCAAAGTCTTAGTGTATCTCAGGATCTACCACATTGATAAGGGTTTCAGACTTGGATGAAAAAGAAGTGTCATTTTGGAAAGCACTTGGGGATTTTTCAGCATGACAGATGCTACTGTGTAAGTGTAAGACTACTACCTCCTTGTATGTGTGGGTAGCTGTCTTACAAAAAGGTGGGTTGACTTATCAAGTTTTTGCAATAAAGTGGAACGTGCAGACACAATACTTGACTGCCCCCACATGCATATTTCACCCTCATTAAATCTGATTACAGTAAAAATCCTAACTATTCTTTTCTAGCACAAACACTTTGTGGAATTAGGAATACATGTAAGCCTTTTAGCACATTATTAATCATCAAATCCAAGGATTACTAAGAAAAACATTTGCATTTTATCACTAACTTTTTCTTTTTTCTCCTCCTTTTTTCTCCCTTGCAGGCACAGCTGTCTCAGGCTTTAAATGGTGTTTCAGATAAAGCAAAGGAAGCTAAAGAATTTTTGGTTCAACTGAAAAATTTATTGCAGCAGATCCAGGTAACTGGTAATTCTGGAAGCAGAATATTATCTGTTTTGATAATACAGTAATCAATAGAACAGAGTGAATAATTTATTTGATGACTTTGTCTCCTCTGCTATTCTCATCTTTCCTGGAATCATCTGACCTTTCTTGGATGGATTTGCTAGGTAAAAATTATTCATCAAATAATGCCTGCAAGCCCCTCTTAGCTTCTAGATTGTTTGCTGTTTGTTGCAAAAAGCTGATACTCAATACTGGACGTCTGAGCTGTGTTGATTAGTGTTTGATTGAATCCATTAGTCATGCTTCTAGGCTCCTCCCTGGCTGCAACTGCTTGAATTTGGCATTGAGGATAAATTCTCATTTTAACATATTCAAAATTTACTGCTAGCTGTTCATCTTACATTTTCTAAAAATGCACTAATTTCTGCAGAAAATCCAATCAACCTACCTATTGGAGTACTTGTAGGAATGTCTTACACATACTCAAAAATAAAAAAAAAAAAGTAACTGCCGCTAAATCAATGTGTCATTTATTAGAGCGTAAGTTATTTTCATGCCTGTAATTGTCCAGATTTAATAGTCAGAAAAAGGGCTCATAGTGAGTGCAATAATTGAGGGCACAAACCCAAAATGAAACAAGCCTTAATTTCAATCAAATTTAGACTCGTCAGTGCTGGAGGTCTGATGATCCTCAAGGTCCTTCTCCCCCTGCAGAGTGTACCTGGAAATGTGCCACTGTAGTGTGAGCTGCACAGTGCCCAGGAGGGGACACTGGTTTTCTGCTGCAGCAGTTCTCTACAGCAATGGGATATGCATCATCTGCTCTTCAGCAGCCCACTCTGCTGCTTGCTCATCTTTCATCAACAAGTCCCATACTTGTTAGTAACAGAAAACCAAAGCAGAAGTTCAAAAAGTTTATAATTTATTCATTAAAGTACTCCCCTTAAAAACCCAGAGGATGAATTCGTAGCGCAAGAGCTGCCCAAGCTCATGAGTTGCCTTGGGGCAGCCTAACTACCCACCCTCACAGTCTTCCATGGCCACGTGGGGAAGAGGACACGGCAAAATGAGAAACTGGTAAAATTAAAGGACATTAAATTGAAACAAACAGGTGCAAAGCCACTGACTGGCACCTGTAATGTGCTGTGTTTTGGCTGTAGTGGGAGGTTTCTCTCAGCTGACTTACCCATTTAACAGTTATGTAGCTCAACTAGTCTACTCATTTAGACTTTTTTCACTTCCAAGGAGAAAAGAAAGGCACGTCTAGGGAGCATGTCTTCCTATAGGTATGAACAGCTATTTTAGGATGGGATAACCCATCCAAAACAGCAGTCTATCACCAATCTTTCTTGAGTCATCTAGCTCCATTACAAATGTATTTTTCCCTCCTGAAACCTAGAAGTGGCCCATTATGACTATTTATGACTATGCTGTAAAATCCTTTAATGTGTTTCAATAAAATCACTGCCAAATTGCTCTGCATAAGAGAGCTGCTACAGTTGGATCAAAAGACCAAGCCGTTTATTTGATGCTGCTCATTGCTTAAAATGCTAGAGGAGAGCTCAGAAATTATATCCAGCAGTATTCTCTAACATTTAGCCAAGTCTGGGCACAAATCTGAATCTGACCCTCATCTGTTGAGCCAGTCTTCATCCTGAGCCTGAGTGAAACGTCAAATTTCAAAACAGCAGAACTAATCAGCTGCATATTGTATTCCTGAGTAAAATAAGGGTGAGGCATGCCTCCAAGATAATCACTCACACACTTTAACCCTTAAGGAGCTCCCTGGAATGGTTTCCTCCCATGACAAATTGCACTCTTCTCATGAGATGTTCGAGCAGCCTTTGATGACAGCACATAGCAGGGAATGCTCCTGGTAGTCAGGTTTGGTACAACCACACTCTTCAAGGGGAAAAGGTTTAGATGTGTCATGAGCCAATCTGTGCCTTTTAACATTTGGACAAAAAACAGTTCTTGTACTGTTATTTTGTAGGGGAACAGATGTAGCCTTTGTGCATGGGTTTATAGCCAGACACACATCTCAGAGCAGGTTATTTACAGTAGAAATCTTATGATGGTTGCCACACTCACATATGGACATTTACCCCTCAGCAAAAATGTATTTTAGTAATACTTTTACACAAAGGAGCAAGCAATATGTACATTTTATTATCCTTTCTCAATGCATGGCAGACCAGACAGCCATCCACACTCTTTGTCTCCACTCTGAGTTTGCCAGAGCTAACTGGAACTGTGCTTTTATCTTACCTGGGGCAGTTTGCAAATTCATAATCTACTTTTCTTTTCCCTGCTTTGCAGATATATTGTTTTCCCCTCTTTTTTCTGCCATTTTCTTCTCTGAGGTCACATTTATATCTCTTGGTCTTTTCTTTTCAGATTCTGCTTGTTCCTCATTGCTCCTGTTGCTTCCTTGCTTCTCCTTGTTGCTGTCATGATCTGATTTTCCCATTTTCCCATCTGCTGTAACAATTTCATACTTTCTCACTCGAAGGAGGCATATCGCCAAACACCCCATTTGATGTGTGAGCAGAAAATGAGGAGAGAAATGATGCACTGCAGCCACCAACTGATTCAGGCTCTGTGCACAAACCTGCACTTCAAGAGTAACGGGATGGAAACGGGCTTAAGGGGGAGCTGGGTGTGGTAAAGCCGAGGAGGGAGAGGTGCAAACAGGAAGAATCCAAGACGAACCTGTGAGCAGGAGCTGAGCCGTCTGGTGTCTCCCCACCATCAGCTAAACCCTCGCCCACATCTCGTGGCAGGGCTAGGACTGCTAGGACTGGGAGCACCTGCCCTGCATCCATCAGCTGGAGAATGGGATGCACGGGTCACAGGCAGGGAAGGGAGTACAGTGCTGAAAATTTTGAACTCAAAATAAAGAAGATAAAGCAAATGAGTAGAAAATAAAAGCAAAAGAGCTAAGAGATAGTAGTGAGTTAGGGGAGTACAGTGGCTTAGCAAAGCAGTGCTTCTCCTTCAGTACATATTTAAAATCTCACATTTAATGACATTGTTTTGGGTTTTTTTTAAATTGGGATATTTGGGAGGAAACTTGATAGCAGACCTAAACATCTCCTTGGAAGAGGAGCTTGAAAGTTTTCTCCTTCTATTCTCATGAGCAGAAGAGGTGAGGGAGAATCTTCCTTTGAACGGGTACTACAGCGGCAGTTCCAGGGATTTATGTAATGCTTAATTGTTTCCAGACCCTACTAAAGGCTCAGTGTTACATACCTCACGCTGATTTCTGCCTAGCAAAGAATTTTACCAAAATGTGAATACAAACTTGCCTCTTTTTTTAAAAGCTAATCAGGTACATAGCTCCACAGCCAAGTGCTACCTATTTTTTAAAAAGTACTTGAAGCAATACACAAACCTTAGGGCTTTGTACCTCATTAATTTCCATGTAATAAGGCAGTAGACCAGATTCTGGTCCATAATTCTGTTCTAATTGCTGTGATACAGAGCCAGTGATTTCAAAGTTGCTACAGTGGGATAATTAAAACAGATTGGACCAGAATCCTCTTATGTATGTATGCACTGTGTATGTTACATTTAGCATTTCCATTATGTTGTATTACATCTGTTGTCGGGAAAGTGCCAGTAAATCAAGGTTTTGAATAAGACCATTTGTGGTGCAGCATCTTACTGTTTCATTTTATAGCATGCAGCTATTACTGGTACAGCTGTAATGAAATCAGAAAGGCAACAAAAATGCTGAGGGTCTTGAAAGGAAATCTTTTCTGAACAGAAAAGCAGGTATGAGCAATAGCTTAAGCTGCAAGCTATGCTTTCATTGATGAGTATGGCTCTCTCTTGTTGTAGGAGAACGGGCTGGATTACGAAGCCTGCCTTGTGGCTCAGTGTGATGCCCTGGTTGACGCGCTAACACGGCAAAAGGCAAAACTGCTCACAAAGGTCACCAAGGAACGGGAGCACAAGCTGAAGGTGAGCATTCCTCTCATCAGCTCAGCACAGCTGCTGATAGATACCTGGTGTGTTTTGTCAGGTTCCCCAACCCTTCACACCATGAAATCTCCTAGTAACCAAACCCTAAAGTCCTTTAGCAGGTTCCAGTTCAGGAGTTTAACGGAACTGTGCCTATGCACATTAAATGATGGACATACTTCAGCAGTTTGTTTAACCAGGCCATCAATCTTTATTTATCTGATGTTTTGGGGCTGTCTCTTGAGAGGTGTTTATCAGTGAAACCTGTGTGTGGTTTGGATTTTGGGACTTTCTGCCCAAGCAAACAGTTGTGATTTTGATATCTCCTCGAATCTTTAAATTCAGGTAAGCCACCTCCAAAAATATATGAGCTACTCGAAATATAGTAAAGAAATGTAGTAAAAGGGCGTGGCAAGCAGAAATCTAAAATGGTTGAATGAAGTGGCAATCAAGAAATATTTAAATAGACACAGTTCTTAAAATGCTGATCTTTATGTGATTTTGAGGTACTATAGTGCCATTCACATTCAAAGTATCTAGGACATCAGGAAAAAGCGGATTATCTAACATAAGTTTGTTGGGGCGGGCCCTGGGGCGGTGGTGGAGTGCCGTGACCTTCTGAACAAGTGTCCTGGGGAGGGCATCCTCTGGGCACAGGCACGTCCTCCGTGCTCACTCCCTGGCAGAGAGTGATTTCAGCTCTTCTATGAGCTCTCCGCTTCAGCCACGCAGGACAAAGAGACGGGAGCCAGGTGTGGGGATCCAAGGCGAAGCTTTATTCTTCTTTCCTTGAAGGGATCCAGGGACGAACAGGCTAAAAGGGACAGAGGGAGCAGAGTTGATATAGGAGAGCCAGGGGGCGGGGTAGAGCAGCAAACCAATCATCTGAGGGCTCAGGGGCGGTAGAAAGGGGGAAGGACCAATGGGGTACAGCTAATTTACATGAAACAGGGAGGCATGCTGGGAAGAGGGAGTGCCGAAGGGCATAACCTTCAGGGGAGAGAGGCAGAGTCTTTTGCTGAGAGGCTTTCAGCCTCCATAATAGTTAACAAAATCTACCTTAGATCAGCATTCAGCTTACTTGACAAGAACCAGCACTTAGGACATACTGCTGACAGCACAGCAAACCTTGCAGTTTATTCCTGTCACAAGTTGTCCTACAGAACACAGTGCTATTAGACCTAGTCCACAGCCATGTGGCAGCAGAATCAAGGCCAAAATCTGGAAAAATGGGATGCAGCTATTTTATTTCTCAATTCCAGCAATGTCTTCTCAAGCAGAGCAGGTTCAATGATAAATTGTGAAGAGAATGTTAGGGTATGATCTGCAAGAAACCACTCCAGCAATTTGCCTCTAAAGTGAAGGACTTTTTAAAAGCTGAGATGGTAGGGAAAGTGTGAGTGGAAATGTGAACACTGCAAATGCAGTGACATGTTCTGTGCCCTCTTCGCCCCAAGCAAGCCTAATCTTTGAGCAATTAATCTGCTCTGAAAATTGAGATTCCCTGTGCAAAACATTTTGCCAAGCTAATTATCAGTATTTACTATACAGAGCAAGTGAGTGAAGCTGATGGAGATACGGCAATGGCCATATGGCAGCTAAATTAAGCATAGATTTAACACACTCTCTCATTCCTTGTCTCTTCTGAAATAATTTTTTACAATTCACTGCAAGCTGAGGCAGTCATAGAACTGTACTGATGTTTGTTTTCCAGGTTGTTTGGGACCAGATAAATCACTGTACACTGAAGCTACGCCAGTCAACAGGGCTTATGGAATACTGCTTAGAAGTTATCAAAGAAAATGATCCCTCTGGGTTTTTACAGGTATTTTTCTTCCTAATGTTCTGGGAAGAAAAGAAAAAACAAACGACTGCATTTAAGCTAAGTCTAAAAATGTGTGGCTTTGTTAATTAGCCCCTTCCACCTCCAAGGCAGGTTCCTTAACTCCTATAAGTACTGTCTAAAAACTCAGAGAGCCTGGTGACTGCATGAGTGTCCCAGCAAAGAGGACATTTTAACATCTTAACAAAGAGGACTTTAACATCTGCCGAAGGTGGGGAGTCAGTGGTCACACCACTCCCCTAACTCCTGATGTCATTCGTCTTGCCAGCCCTTCCTTCTGGGCTGAGAGAAAGATGCTATGCAGTTAATTATAGTTTTTTTGCAGAGTATTATTTTATTTTCATCTGAGAAACCCAACACAGGGCCCCACAGAGCTCTCTGATTAATTTGGAGAGGTCAGTGACTCGGCAGAGTAGTACTTCTCCCCCTTGTGCTTCTTCTCTTTGCTTTCCCATGTAAAAGAGTTCTTACAACACCTACCCTGTAAGGAAATCTAGTCTGAAGGGGCTTGCATGTACCTTTGCTTCACTGAGATTGTTGCATCAATACCTGTGAAAGCTCCAGGTACTTTTCTTTGCAAAATATGGCCTAGCCAATAATTTCCATAATTTGCAGGATATTGTTTCTTAGGTGCAAATGGTGAAAGTGTCTATTGGTGAGACAAAGCATACAGTGTTAATTCCCCATAAATTATTTTGCTTAATTTATTCTAATATGTTTATTAATTATTTTATTTTGCCCTAGTAGTTTTGTTGCCTCATTTATTGCCTACAAAGAAAGGTACATCAAACAAAATGACCTGCACACAAATGCATGAGTGTCAGGGGTCTGTCAGAGCATCCGTAAAAAACAGGATGAGAATTAGCCAACCTAAGCCTATTAGCACTCCAGACTGATTGTCACTGTCATGTCTGGTCTCAAGCAAGAGAGGGGAATGTGTAGTGTCGATTAATCTCAAGATTACACGGATTTTAACAGGCCGGTGGTTGGACACTACAGGACAAATAAAACCTTTAGGTCTTACCTACATGCTATCTAGATATATGCTTTGCTTTCTTTCCAGCTTGCTTTCCCTGTAACTTTTGTGGTGTCAGTTTTTGCAGCCCCCCTTTATTAAAAAAAAAACAGCCAAACAATTTTTGGTTTTACTTTTTCCTGGTTTATCTAGTGATGCTTTTGAGACAGCCAGCAGACACTCAGGCACGGCGTTACTTTGATCAGCTATCCTGCAGCCAGGATATTGAGACATGGCCAAGGGATCCAGAAGCCCAGCGACTCTGAGGTTGCAGGAGGCTCTGGGGTGCTCCTCCACCTACTGCACAGACTGATTAGGAGCTGTTGATGCAGGGGCTCAGACAGGAGTGTCCTCAGTAAAAGTAATGAGGAAAAGTATCCGAATTCCTGCAACAAAGGAAAAGTCTGTTATACCCAGAAAAGAATTCTACTCCCTGTGACTTACAGGAAGTTCATTGTCAGGGACTCCAGATACCCAAATGGCAGCTTCACTGAACTCAAGGACAGTTGAGTTCATTGATTTCCACAGAGCCAGAATATAACTTCCAGAAGCATCTGTTGTGGTCATTTTAGTTTGACTTTTGGTCTGATTGTCTGTGGGCTGAGCTAGAGCAAACCTTTAAAAATTAAATTCAGTTTTGTTGTAATGGTAGAAAATCCATCATATATGTGAAAATCTATCTGACACTTTATCACCCTCACTGTGAGTAATACACACCTTCCTTACCATTTGATTTTTTTAATCCCTTAGCTTTCATCCACTGAATCATCTCTGCTGAATGGAGAGACTCAAACATTTAAGCCTCTCTTTGTGCAACTTCTTTTTAAACAGGAGAGCAAAAGTAGACCATGCAGATCAGAGAACAGAGTACAGAATTATACGTGGCATTCAAAGGCATGACACACAACATAATCTTAACAGGCTTTATAAATGCAGTTTTTACTTTCCTAGCCTGAGATTTATCTTGAAAAGACAAGATGAAAGGATGCAACATAAATGGACCTTGCCCCAAAACGACCAGATCCCATCTCATCTGTTTTGCTGTCTCAATCCTGTTTCCTTTGTGCTGTATCTCACAGGCATTCTGTCATTTTTAATGTGTGCATCTGCCATTTCATTATAAATCTGATACTCTCTTTCAGATTTCAGATGCTTTAATCAAGCGTGTTCAGGTATCTCAGGAACAGTGGGTCAAAGGAGCCTTGGAGCCAAAAGTATCTGCTGAGTTTGACTTGACTCTGGATAGTGAACCTTTACTGCAGTCAATTCACCAGCTGGATTTTATTCAGATGAAATGTAGGGGTGAGCTTTTATGATTTTCCTTTTTCTGTTTTTCATGCATGTGTTGAAACAGTGCTGGGAGGTATGAGGACACCGAAGGAGGAAAGAGGAATGACTGGAATTTGCTGGATAGTTGTAAAAGGTTTTTAGGCAAATTCAGGTTACTGGGTGTTTCCTGGAAAGGTGTGCTCCCCTCACATGTATAATCTTTAAGTGTGTCTGGTATTTCTATCTGAGCTGAACAAGAAATTTAAAGATTAATTCTTCAGAGTAGGGCTTTGAAGATTAATAAGACATAAGCAGCATGAAACTTCATGCCATTTTGTAGCATTCCTATTCAAGATACCAACTTCCCCTATCTTGTCAGAAACAGCTGAAGTAGAAAATAAATATTACACACATACACACACACACGCTTGAATAAGGAAAAAAACGCCTTTGACTTTTGACTTGTATCTGGACTGTACTGCAAAAAGTGCCCATCTTAATAAAAAAGTCAGGAGGAAGAGATTCACAAGGGGAAAGTTGCTCCATGGCTGTACCACACAAGGGGAGAGTTGCTCCATGGTTGTACCATTCCATGGTTCCAGGTATCTGGATAATTCTGATGGACAAGCTAGAGGGAACTGAGGTTAAAAAGTATATCTAAAAGAAGAAGCTGATGAACAGGACATGACACTGACATAAAAAAAAAAGAAATGTAACATCATGAGCTTGTAATGTCTAGTTTATACAGAGCAGGATGAGAGCTGCATCAGAATTAGATAGATCTGTATGTCAGTTGGGTTGAAAGCCATTGTGGTCCCTGGGAATGATGTCATTAGCTTCTCCCAGTGGTGATTCAAGCCTTAATTATATATGTGGGTGACAGGATAGAGGCTGCCAGAAGTCAGTGAATGAGTTAAGGATATCGTGTAGTGATGTCAGATGTGCTTTTTTTTGTTTTAAGCAAGCATAAAGAATTTTGTTCATCTTATGTGTTCTCTCTGCGCCTAATTCTGCATCTAAGACACCCAAGATGAAGTAATTAGGGTGGATAATTTGGCAGATCTGTGGAGAAACAATGTACAGACAGTTAAAGGCCAGTCTGCTCACCAAGAGCAGACTTTGCATCTTGGCATAAACAGGCTGTGTTAAAGGTATTCGGTAAACATCTGTGAACTGCTCCTTTGAAATGTTGTCAGACAGGCAAGTGGAGTCAAGAGAGAAGGAATATCACTGATAAAAGTCCTCTGAATGCTGTCTGCACTTGTCTTTTTAACTTCAGTTTATATTTAATGTTAGCCATAGTTATTGAGAAATATATTTAATATTAATCTCCCACCACTCTCCTTTACAAACATATAAAAAATTTAATTAAACTAGTCACACAGATTACTGGTTAACCAGAGGTTACCTGAGGTGAGAGCAACTTCGGTATTTGGCTTGTGGACATTCACCTGGCTTTAAGCTTGAAGACTTACAAAACTTTAATTGAGCCAGATTCACTTGTGCTTTATGAAAGATAGTGTTATCTGCTATGCTCTCATTTATCCTAAGATGACAGGGAAGCTCTAGTAGTGAGTTAGACACAGTCTGAGGAGCAGAGAAGACAGGACTTTTTGCAGCCCAAACCTGTGCAGAGCTTCTAAATACCCTTGGGCTTTGCTCCCCAGAGGCAGGGTTAGCCCTCAGGAAGGGCTTTTGCTTGAGCTTAGTCTTGGCCAGGGATTATCTGTTGCATGTCCCATCAGGTTGGTCATGACAACCGGTGTGACCATGCACACACCACGCAAAGAATGGTGGAAAGGATGTTAACCTGGTCACCATTCCTTAAGGTGCATCAGGGATGGCATTATTCCCCTTCACACCTCTGTGTGCCCAAGCAGAGCAAGCCACTGACCAGTTCCAAGCTAGCATTCATAGGCATTGGGGATTGTTTAGTATGTAGACATGTATTTATCTTTCTCCACTTATGACAGCAAGTCTATTTCCATTTGAACTTCTCAGTCTGACACAGGTCTTTTTTTCCCTGAAATTTTACTTCTATGACCTCAACCAACTCTGCATTATTTTAGAAACATTAAATGATCTGGGTTGGAAGGGAGCCTTAAGGATCATCTAGTCCCAGCCCCCTGCCATGTGCAGGGACACCTTTCACTAGACCAGGTTGCTCAGAGCCCTGTCCTGTCTTGCCTTGAACACTTCCAGGGATTGGGGCATCGATGGTTTCCCTGGACACCCTGTTCCAGTGCCTCATTACCTTCATAGTAAAGACTTTCCTCCTAATATTTAATCTAAACTGTCCCTCTTTCAGTTTGAAGCCATCTTCCCTTGTCCTATTACTACATGCCCTTGTAAAAACTCCCTCTCCAGCTCTCTAGTGGGTCCCCTCTAGGCACTGGAGGCCACAGTCAGGTCTCCCTGGAGCCTTCTCTTCTCCAGGCTGAGCAACCCCAGTTCTCTCAGCCTTCCTTCAAAGGAGATGTGCTCCAGCTCTCTGATCACCTTTGTGGCCCTCTTCTGGACCTACTCCAACAGTTCCACATCCTTCCTATGCTGGAGGCCCTGGAGATGGACACAGTACATTGAGCCATTGACAATAACTCTTTCAGTGCAGCCATCCAACCAATTCCTTATCAAGTGAGAGGTCCATCTATTAAAATTCTTGTCTCTCCATTTTAGAGACAGGGATGTCATGTGGGACAATGTCAAACGCTTTGCAGAACTCCAGGTAGGTGACACCGGATCTTCTTCCCTCATCCACCACTGCAGTTATTCTGTCATGAAAGGCCACCAAATTTGCCAGGCATGATTTGCCCTTCTTCAGATGCACTATTTGCATTTTCTCTTGCAGAGTGGTCTTGCATCTAAAAATATAGGTATCACACAGTAATCAACCCAGCATTTCAGGAGCAAGCACCCAAACTAGTTGGGAACATGACTTTGCTGACTGTAAGGAGAACCTGCAGTCGCATAGTGATGTTTTGCTATTTATCACCATGAACACTGGAACAGATTGCCCAGAGAGGTTGTGGCATCTCCCTCACTGGAGATGTTCAAGAACCTTAGGAACACAATCCTGTACCAGGTGCTCTAGGATGATCCTGCTTGAGCAGGGAGGTTGGACCAGATGAGTCCCCTCCAGCCTGACCCATTTTGTGATTCTGTGACTTGAATATTTCTGAACGTCCACTTTCACAAAGAAAAAATGTGTATGTCTCTTCACGTCTGCTCCTCTTTCTTCCATCCTACCTACATTAGCACAGCAACAAAGGTCGTGTTGAAGTGAGTGTTATTAAGTCATTTTACTGGTTGATCTGAGAAGAGCAGATTCTTTAAAGATGTCAGAAAAGGAAGTTTTGGGGAGATCTAGGAGAGCATGGCTTCTCCAACTGTAAGCTGTTTTTTTTCCAAAAGCTTACAATGTATTATCTGTATTACTGTTATCAGTGCTTAGTACATGACTGAATTTCTATTTTTTTTTCAAACTGGCCTCATTCAACCTCATTGAGCTTGCATGGGTCATTTAGAGTGAAAGCTTGCTTGTAAGTAAACATTGATTCACTGTGTTAGACAAAGAACAAAAATGAGAACAAATCACATTACATTTGCTTTGATGACATGTTCATCATGATGATGACATTACTGATGCACTCTCTATAAGCACAGATCTAAAGCTCATCTCAAAAAATAAAGATCATAGGGTTCTTTTTTTTTTTACAGAAGATGCAATCTGAGAGCAAATTACATGTGCAGAGATGTGATAGGTGCAGAAGGCATGCAGCTTAGGCAGTCATGTTGAACCAAAGGGTCTCACTGTGTCCCACACTCCCTGGGCCAGCTGACCTGAGAGACACTCACACGGCTGTACTAGTTGCTGGCATTTTGAGCTTTCCCAGATAATTTTCTCTGTCCTTGTTTTCTTCTCTCTGTTGCGTTCACTGAGTGCCTTGGCACAAAATTCCTGTCCTCTGATGCCTGGCTTCATGTGTACTTCACATATTCTCAGTTAAAGCTATTGGCAGAGGCAAATGCATGTTCTGAGTTTGTTTTGTTCACACAGGTGTAACTGGCAGTCTTGATTGGTTGAAAAACAGGACTAGATAGAAAATAGGAAAATATATAGCTATTCTATTTTTCTGTACCACCTCTGAACATTCATTCACATACCCCTTCTTCTTGACCTGAGTGACTGACTCCTTCCCTCTTCTGCAAACCATGAAGATTCCCCAGACACATCTGCCACAAATCTCTGCTTCTCCAGGCATAAGCTGTACAGCCCTGATAATTAAAGGACAACTGTTTCATCTTAAGCTTTACCTCTGGTTCTTTCTGCTCTATGTCATGGACTCAGCTCCTTGTGGTGTCTCCTTCTCTCCTAACTGTTTGTAAAGCACTTGCTACAGCAGTGACTCATGCCATTCCAAGGCTGTACTGAAGTTGTGGAGGAAGTCAAAGTTTTCATGTTTCTGGGAGTCCCATTCTTTTGGTGCATTTAGTCCTGTAAAAATTAGTCTGGGAAGATGAATGACATCATTGCATCACTTGCTTGTCAAGAGGACAAAAAATAGCATCTTAGAGGATGTACTTACTGTACCCTATGAGGGAACTACCCTGATCAGCCATGAGATGCATTGAGAAATGTGTTTTGGGAACTGCTCAGTTCACAAGAGACAGTCAGTGTCACATTTCTTATCGAAGAGTGACCTGCGTGAAGCACTTTCAAAATAGCAAGACATCATTCAGACTCATTAATAAGTCCCACTGTGCCAATGCAGTATCATTTCTCCCTTTATATTTTTAATATTTTCCTTCAAAAAATCCCTTGAGAACTTTAAATTGGTCAAGAAGTGGGACAGAACTGTAATTTAACATCTGAGTCTTTTTTTTTCCTGGCACTTAGCCTGTATTTTTCTTTTCTTAGTCCTATTCCATTGCTTGTTGCTGTGAAGTATATACCAGTGTCCCAATTATTCAACTCACTTTGCACTTTCCTATGATTTTTACAAGTGTTTGTCTTTCCTCCTCCCATAGGGAATTTGAGATCAAGGCAAATCGCTGCCCATCCACATCCAGTGGAGGAAGCAGGAGGGCAGGCACAGAGAGCATCATGCAGCAAAGCTGCACAGCTGCTTGGCAGGAGCTTCTTGCCTCTCCTTCAGGAGAGTTGTACAGTTCAGGCCAGAAGCTGCCTCAAAGAGAGCAGGAGGCTGATATGGATTACTCCAAAGCCTTGAATATCCAGCAACACATTAAAGAAGCCACTTCCCCATAATATGTGAGACTCTCACACATTGGGCCAGAATTCACACTTCCACTGGGAAGTGGGAACAACAGCACTCTACTGGATGAAAACATATTTTATTCCTAGACAGCATTCCTGTTTACATAATTAAGAGGGAACTATAAAACACATACCCTCCCCCAAAAATTCTGCTTTTTTTTTTTCAGCATTGTGCATTACATGAACAGTTCCTGAAAGCCTTCTATGAATGTTCCTAGGAGTTAGGAGATTTTTTTCAGAGGTTGAAAAAGTTAGTGGTTAATTCAGAGGTGAAGGGGCATTGTCTACTTTGCATCTTATAAACTTCAGGAATTAGGTTTTTGTCCAGTCTTGCCAGTAAGAGTATCAGAAATGGGGAGGACCAGACAAATGCCCCCTGAGAGGGCTCACCAGCTAGCAAAAGTGGCAGGAATGTGGATGGCTGATAGAGCCCTATCTTCTCCCAGGCTCATCAGTCACCAGGAATACATAGGCTAACAAACACAGACAAAACTCTAAACTTAAAATGGTTCACCTAAAAAATCCCATTACCTCTGAATTCCTCATTTTCAGGTTTTTGACTCTTGTCACATTTCTGTGGCTACTCCAGACATAGTGTCTCCTAGAGAAAAGTCTGAACTTTCCATGTGAGAAAACAAACAGGTTTTTATTTATGACACCCTCTGAATCATCCTTAAATATCAAGGAATAGGAACAAGGCTTCCTTTTCACAGAAAAACCTTCAAGAGCTAATTTATAAAGCTCCTTTGTTTCATTCTTCTGGGCTACCAACCATCTGCGTTCACTGTGGTGGTGGATAATGCCAGCGGAAAGCCGTGGTAGCTTCTGCACTGTTTATCACAAGTGTGATGTTGACTTTCATGTCACTTCCAAAGTGGGGGTGAAGCCTCAGCCCTTTCACACAGTGGCATCCATTTTCCCACAGTCTGCTTGGTACACAGAACAGAACAGTCCTCTTTTATCCAGAAACGTAAAATAGGACGAAAGGAACAGCTCAAGGGCTTAGCTCTCACACAGACAGAAGGAAGAAAATAAACTGCAGGGTCAAAGCAGAGTAGATAAAAGGAGAGCAAACTAATATTGTTTAAGCCAATGAATTCTCAGAGCACTCAGTTTCTTCTAAGACTTGACTGAGCTCGGCAGATATGATATTGAGATATTGAATGGTGAAATTTAGCCTTGGGCAGACCAGGCTTTGTGCATCACTGACATCCTACTTAACCTGTGTGGTTTCAACAGTGTATCAGATGCATGCCAGGTCTATCCAGAAGACTAAATTTTCGCTTTATAATTGCCAGCAAAGAGTGAACTGTGAGAGTTTAGTTGTGTTTAGGAGCAGCTGGATAGAGGTCTCTTTCTCACAGAGACACAGCTGAATGTTTTACTCTGTTTCTTTTTATTTTTAAGATGCCGATCTGGTAAACAGTCTCTTGGTGTTTCTTCTGAGCAAGACACTGAAAAGGCATGTTAGTAGAAAACTTTGCATTTGTAGTTTCCATAAGGAGTGTCCAGTGATGCCGAAGTTCCTTTTGCTACCTGAACCATGGGATTTAGATAAAGTTTGCAAACAGAACAATTTGCTTCAACAGTTTATTTTAAGTATGGTTGCTATAAAGATAACATATCCAAGGTGTTTTTGATGAAAAACTAGGGGGAGAGGAGGGGTGGTAAACTAGATTTTTAAAACCCTCCACAACTGTAGTGAAGAGTTGTTTTCCTGCTGTTGGTGGAGTTCAGGCTGTCTCTGGGATGTGCTGGGAGGAGTGGCTGCTCTGCTTGTTAACAACCCAATTCTTTGTTACTGCACTGGGTTCCCTGGCAGCATTGCATCTGCCATGCCACCCCATGGCCTGAGACACCCCCTGCCCCTCCTTTTGGGGACAGCGGTTGTCCTGGTATAAAAAAGAACTCGTCCAGACAGGGACTCCTGGGAAGGAAACCACACATGGATTCCCCAGGTTCTGGTTCTTAAGAGACACGACAATCAAGTCCAGATATGCTTCTGTTTACATATTTCAGTGAAATGATTTTCTAACTTGGTAACAACATTTTGTTATGTAATTTTACTGCCTTTTTTTTCAAGGAAGAGAATAGACTCTCTTCCTAACAAACATCAGCTCCCGTTCAAGGGGAAGGAGGTGAGCAGTTGCCACACTGCTCAGGGCACAGACTAAGGGGGCAGGGCAGAGTTACACTAACCTGTACCCAGTTCCTGTTTCAGTGCCACCTGTCCCATTACTGCAGCTGGAAAAGTGTTGCACCAGGAACAACAGTGTGACGTTGGCCTGGAGGATGCCACCTTTGAGCCACAACCCAGTGGAGGGTTATATCTTGGAACTTGATGATGGAGATGGTGGCCAATTCCGAGTGAGAATTTCATTCAGCATTTATTTGTGTTTCTTTGTATTGTGAGTTTCCTCCAGATACAGATTTATTTCTGCCCGAGGGTGGGGAGAGGGGTAGGGAAGATGTGGGTTGTCAAAACATCCCTAATTCCATTGTGTTGGTGGAGAAAGCAGTGCAGATGCTGCTTAACAGAAGGACCACTGGCTTAGTTAGGAAGTTTGTTTGAGGTTATTCTCAGGGCTCTTGCAAAGAGGGCCTTGAGGTATCCCCAGTGTGTTCCAGAGTAGAAAATCCCATAGGAAGTGGTTCATTGCATAAACCAGAAATTTCTATGAAGCCCCTACTTTCATCTGTCTGTAGCACCCTGTTTCAGCTACTGACATTCTTGGTCCAGAAATGCAACTCAGTCTTTCCTGATTTTCTGAGTAAAAATATGATCCTGCATAAAAATACAAGATTTCTAAATTTTTCCCCTGGGAGTGGATGAGACCAGGCTGGTGGAAGCTTTTTTTTTTTTTTTTTTTTTTGTCGTGCTGTGATGAGATTGATAAATACAGAAAGGCTTCCCAAGTGCTGTCCTTCCAAATCCTCTGGGTGATGACACAATGTGATGCTCCTGGTTGCAGGTGCAGGGTACTTATAGACTCCCATACTTTTTGACACATCCTGATGAACAAATCAGAGAAGCAATTTAATCAGCTTTCTTCCAGCCATGTCTTCCTAGAAGCTGTGGCACTTCCTCCTCAGGCAGGCTTCATGCTCCTGTTGCTCAGGACCAGGCTGGCCCAATGTTTTCCCTAGGGGCTGGTTCCTCAAAAGCATCTGGAGATCATTGTGGAGTACAGCTGCTCTCTCTTCACAAACAGGGAATTTTGCCAAAAACATGTGATGGCATTTCTTTGGGAGCTGCAAACTGGCTCCTCCCTGGAAACCTAAAGATTTCTCAAGCTGAAAATGTCTTGGCATGGATCCACATAAGGAACTGCCAAACCACTACACCCATAGCCAGCAAAGGTACCTGATTTGGACAACCCTCATTAGAAGAGGCAGCAATATTTGCAGGGCATTTTGAAGAGGGCATTGTGGTTTTTGGAAGGTCTCTTCAGTTACTTGGTCCAAGTAACATTTCAAAGGGATTTGAAAAGCTTGGTTTCCACTACTGAAAGTGTGAAAAGGTACTTTTGTGAATGGCTGCTGAGAGCAGCCAGTGTAGTCAATGTTAGTAGGTAAGAGGGTTATCAGTGTGTGATGAATGAAGAGTTAGAATCAGGTGTTAGAATTCCAGTTTCTTTTATCCAGTTTATCCAGGATAAACCTTTTAAACTGATATTCATGTCTGGTGAATAACAAGATTTCAGGCTGGTGTGTATCCAAGCTCATTTGTGTGGATGAGTTTTGCTACTGCCAAAGGTTTTAGGACTGCCAGCAGTGCCATGTTAAGATTTTGGACTGAAAACAATAAAAAAAAGAAAATCTCAATCCTTAAAAATGTAAGGTGATAACTTCTAAGGGGAATGGTCTGCTTGCTGTGGTAGAAACATCCACAGTTTTACCCCTTAAAAGAGAAAAGGCAGGCTTCCCAGCAATGCTGTTTTAATAAGGGTTTGCTGAACTTTTAAATGCAGAATTCTATATCTGAAAGCAAAGATGTTGACTACGTTTTATCAGCATTTGATGAGTGGATTTAAAGAACATCTTTGTTGTAGCAGAGAACATCAACCTGCATAAACCGAAGCAGTGAACAGTATTAAAAATGAAGTGGATTAGAAAATGTGAGAATTATTCAATAAATACAATTTTTTTTCATGGTCAGCATATCTTATGACATGGAGGTAAACTAATTTATTCTATTAAAACTCTTGTCTCCATGAACAATCACCAGCTAACTCAGGACCCAAGAGATTTTGTTGTTTGTAGCAGCCACCATAGTAGCAAAGAGGACAAACACATCCTGCTGTAAACTTAAGCAATTCCTTTCTTATTCATCACATCCTTTTGGGTTTATATGAAAGAGCCTTAATCATCAGAACTATTCCAAGGCATTACTTAAGTCTTAAATGAACTAGAATCTGAGTGGTTTGCTTAGTGACAGGTTTAAGCACTTTGGTGCCTTTGTTACGATAAACCTACAGATTTCACAGATTCAGGGAAATCAGAGATGGAAAGGAATTACCTTTCAACCTGCTGCCAAGACAGGATTTTCTAGGCTTCTTTCAATTCATCATAGCCTGCATAATCTGATCCTCTTCATTGGTCTGCCTAGATGTTCCTCCCTTTGAAATGTTACACATTACAGAAGTACTTGGTGTATGATAAATATATGAGGACTTTTTGGGTGTCTCTGTTTCTAATTACTGTTTCATCATGTGGTGCATGTAATCCTAATTATTAGGAGATAATTTTCTTCTGGATCTCTGTTTTCAGTTTTCAAAATTCAATTTTAAGCTAGGCATGAAATAACCTTTCCAACAGAATAAAACTGCACTTGTTTTTTTTTTATTCTTATATGCCCCTTTTTTTGTCTTACATAAAATAGTGTGTCAGATACTGGGACCACTTTCCAAAATAGTGGTTTGAAGTAGAGATTTAGGATAAGAGAAGCATGAAGATCTTTTTGTGTTGCCTTTTATTGCTTTACCCTTCCAGCCTCATCTTCACCTTACTTTGTCCAGTCCTAACCATCCGTGATGTCTCCCATGCTGTGGGTGTATTATAGCAGCCATAACTCACACATCCCGGGAAACAAAGAGAAGCTGTTCACTTTTGGCTTATATTTAGAAGTCTTAACCGTGTTAAACTATGTCCCTCATTCTCTCTCTCTCTCTGTCTCTCTCTTTTTGGAATGTTTAGGAGGTATATGTTGGAAAGGAGACTCTCTGCACCATCGATGGCCTTCATTTCAACAGCACTTACAATGCCAGAGTCAAAGCTTTCAACTCCTCGGGCGTTGGTCCTTACAGCAAGACAGTCATTTTACAGACGTCGGATGGTGAGCTGGGGGCCTGCCACTTCCTAAATGAAAAGCTGCAGCTCTCAGTGGCAGGACACTTTCATCCCTTTACACTCATTAATGTATTTGACACCTACTGGCATTTTCCATTATCAGTAACACTTCAGGCTTCAAGTTGTGTGATTTTAGTTGGCTGTGAAAGTCTAGGATCTAACTAAGATACTTTCTTTAGCGTACAGAAACAGTTATGCAACTCACGGGATATTTTTTGTTCCGCTCTGTCTCCCTTTCTCCATATATCTTTGGGATTTGTTTTTTTCTTCACTACTGCTTCAATTTCCCCCTGCAAGGTTTGATAATACGGAGATGGGAATTCATGCTTGTTCCTCTGTAATTATACTTGACATCCATACGGACATTATAGGAAGTTCATCTTCATTAATGATATTGTAATGAATCAAGAAGTGCATGCTATTATCACTTCCACTTTTATGCTGTGTTGCCAAAATAGGCCAGTATAAAATATTTATACTTTAAGAGCTTTTGGGGCTTTTTTTGTCTTTTTTTTTTAAAAACCCTTCACTTTGATAAACTAATGAAGTCAATCCTAACCAGCATGGACGCAGCTAATCTCCATTTCCATTAAAGGTGATCCTGAATCGATTCACCTACATGAGCAGTTTCCATATCATGGAGAAACCTTTGTCTCCTCAGTGACTTTCTTGTTACTGTGTGTGGACATAACATACTACCCTTAGCAGCTAAATTTCAGGGGAACAAGTGCAAATAACGTAAAGCACTTCTGAGCTGAAGAGTAGCAGGGTACCAGCTCAGATTAATCATGTGTAGCTGCCTACAGTAACAAGGAAAGATGGTTTTTATTACCTCAGAGTGCAGTGGAGTCTTTACAAGGACAGAATTTTATCCTTCTTACTGAAGTAAAGCGTATAACACTTGGGCACAGACCCTCCTGGTATAATCCTGCCTTTCCTTTTCCCCTTTCCCAGTGGCATGGTTCACCTTTGACCCCTCCTCAGCTCACAGGGACATAGTGCTGTCGAATGACAACCAGACTGCCACCTGCAACAGCTACGATGACCGGGTGGTTCTGGGCACTGCCGCCTTCTCCAAGGGCGTGCATTACTGGGAGCTGCACGTGGACCGCTACGACAACCACCCGGACCCAGCCTTTGGCATTGCCAGGATTAACGTGGTCAAGGACATGATGCTGGGCAAGGACGACAAGGCGTGGGCCATGTACGTGGACAACAACCGCAGCTGGTTCATGCACTGCAATTCCCACACCAACCGGTGAGTGCTGCCTGCGGGCTCTTCTCCTCACAGACATTTTCTCTGCCCTGCATCACAGGCCAGTGTCTCAGCCGGCCATCTAGTCCAGCTCCCAGCTAAATGTAATTATTTTATTCCTTCTTGAAAGTCACTAGTGGCAGTGATTGCACCTTGACAGTCTGTGTTGGTGTTTGTTATCCTCACTATAATCAGTTTGTCCCTGAGATCTCGCCTAAATCCCCCCTGCTGCCATTTAAACCCATTATTGTGTGTCCCACCCACCTCAGCAGACAGGGGCACAGCACAGTGGGATGCAGGACTTCTCTCATTGCTGGAGGGAGAAAGGTGGTTGGTTCTCCTCATTAGGAGGAATCTTGGCTGCAGATTGTACAATAATTAGGGCACAGGTGTTTGTTTCCAATTCTGACAGCTATTAAGGGTTTTGCTGTAGGTCACACTGACGCATATCTGGATACAAGGGACTGTTTGGCAGTGAGGGCTAAGTGACAGCTTTCATGCTACCGAGCCATTGTACTGAAGAGCTTTGAAAAGCACCTCAACTAGTACAGCCAACTTAGAGGAGGATTTCAGAATGCCCCCAAGCCACTGTTACCAAGCCTCTCTCTCCCACCACTCAGAGGCTCTGTGTTCCCAATGCAACTGAGCAGTGGAGACATGTCCTAGCTGCAGGTACCTCCAGGGATGGATCACACAGAGAGAACAGCTGTCAGCACAGATCCTGTGTTGTGCTGACATGCTTGCATGACTTTCAGTGCTCAGGATAGTTACCTCTGCCTAGTGCTGGCTTCTGTTTCATTGAAGTGATGCCAGACTGTGCAGGGGAGACATGGTTAACTTTGCTTGAAAGTATCAGAGCAGAACTGAAGGTTTCTGTGTCCCATGAGAGGGTCAGCCTTAGCTGAAGGTCAGTTGGGTACTGAGACCCTTGAGAAGATCTCCTCTGAAGAGCATCCCTTGCTTATTTTGGAAAATGGTGTATTTGTATACCTGTCCTATCACAATGGGAGATTGATGTACAAGTAAAGTGACTGACTAAGGATATGTAGCAGGTCTGTGGCAGAGCTGGAATCAACTTCTGTTTAGTTTTCTACTGACTGTCCCAGCAGGTCATCCACTCACTGTTTCAGGCGTTTTTCTTGTTATACCAAACAATTAAAACAAAATTTTGCAGTGATTTTTAAAACACTGAAATGCAGGTGTCTCCTTAAAAAGATAAGGTTGTGTCGACATGCACTGTATCCTAAGGTTGGTTGTAATATCTCCCACTGAATAGTCATTTATACTCTACAGCACACCAGTGCTTAAAGTAAGTACACTGCAATTGCTGGGAATTTTTGTTTGAAACATGGTTTGATTTTGCAGTTCATTACAGACAGATGGAAGAACCCTGTAGCTGGATCAAAAGCTATCTGAAGTTGCTTGGATTGTTTTCCATGGGTCCAAAGACCTTAGATCATGTCCTAAGACAATATAGAGTAAAATAACTCAGTATAATAAATATACCAGAAAGTTGTCTGTCCCTTTAAAATCTTGATTCGATTCAAGGGCGGAAGTAATGTTAAGCTGTATTAATTTTAATGCTCTGTGGAACAGCTTATGTTTTCTGGAAAAAAGCTGGCAACCATTCTGTGCACCACTGTCCCAGAAACCTATTTTATGGACTTGGTCCTCGGCATGCTCTTCTCAGCAAGCAACACACAAGCTAAGGCAAAAGCTTTTTTCTGGGAAGCACAAACAAAACACTTAGGATTTCCAATCATCCTGCTTAATCAGGAGAACAGAGTGCTTTCTGTTGATGATAGATTCCCAGTTTTTACCTGATAAAACACAAAGGCATGTGCAAGGCATGGATAGACCCATGGAATATCTGTTCAAGGGAAGTACACTCACAAAGGGCATGTAGTCTTATGAAATCACACGCGCTTCAATGAAATTAGGTCTAGGCATTATATTTTTAACTGTGACAGTCAACTAGGTCAGTTTTTTAACTCATTAGTTGTAATAGTCTTGTGGAAACAGTTATTGCTGCCTATTTGTTTTTTTCCCACTGGGCACGAGAGCATGGCAGCACAGTATCACAATCCAAAGTGAATTCACTGTCAACTTTTAACCTCTGGGATGCTGTTGTGATAAAAGTTACACCTTAATAATAGTTTCTTGCTTCCTCATGTTCATGAGAATAAATTAGGATAATTAATAAATGACTAATTTCAAGGGTAACCTGAGGTAGAGCTTGAAATTAGAAAATCTCTAATTTGTGTGACCTGTCTCATTTAGAGGACTTTTCTGTTCCTTTCACTCACAGCATGCAAAATTGGATCTAGCCTGACTCCTGTAATGCTGGAAGGGGCATTAGAGAAGACTCGAATGCATCCACAGAGGGATGCTTTTGAGAACAGGCTGAGGAAACTAGATAAGAAAATACTTTAGGGCAGAGATATAGGATTGGGAGGCACCTTTAAGTCTTGCTGTTCCCAGAAATCTGAGCCTGGGAAAGTCATGGAACAGATCCTTCCAGAAGCTGTGCTAAGGCACATGGAGGATAGGGAGGAAATTGAAGACAGTGAGCATGGCTTTACCAAGGGCACATCCTGCCTTACCAACCTTTCTATGGCCTTCTATGATGGAGTGACTACAGCAGTGGACAAGGGAAGAGCCATGGGCAACATCTGTTTGCATTTCTGTAAGGCCCTTGATATGGTCCCCCACAAAATCCTTCTCTCCAGATTGCAGACACATGGATTTGAGGGATGGACTGTCTGATGAATAAGGAATTAGTTGGATAGTCACATCCAGAGGGTAGTGGTCAACAGCTGCATGTTCAGATGGAGGCTGGTGACAAGTGGTGTCCTTAAAGGGTCCATACTGGGGCCAGTTCTATTTAATGTCTTCATCAGCGTCATAGAGAGTGGGATCAAGTGCACCCTCAGCAGGTTCACAGATGACACTGAGCTGAGTGGTGTGGTTGACACACCTGAAGGACGAGATGCCACCCAGAGGGACCTGGACAAGTTTAAGAATTGGGGCCCTGGGAACCTCATGGGCTTCAACAAAGCGAAGTGCACAGTCCTGCACCTGGGTCAGGGCAGGATGGAGGATGAAGGGCAGCACCCCTGCCAAGAGGGACTTGGGGGTATTGGTGCCTGAGAGGCTGATCATGATCTGTCAGTGTGCACTTGCAGCCCAGAAGGACAACTATATCCTGGGCAAAAATTGTCAGAGGGATGGAACATCTCTCCTTTGAAGGAAGGCTGAGGGAGATGGGGTTGCTCAGCCTGGAGAAGAGAAAGAAAGCTCCAGGGAGATCTGGTTGTGAACTTTCAGTACTTAAAGGGGGTTTATAAGAAAGATGGGGACAGTCTTTTTAGGAGGGCCTGTTGTGCTAGGACAAGGGAAGATAATTTTGAGCTGAAAGAGAATAAATTCTGACTAGCTATAACGAAGACATTATTTTACAATGAGGGTGATGAAACACTGAAACTGGTTGCTCAGATAGGTGGTGGATACCTCATCCCTAGAAACATTCAAGGTCAGATTGGATGGACTTTTGAGCAACTTGACCTCGTTGAAGATGTCCCTGCTCTTTGCAGGGGGGTTGGACTAGATGGCCTTTAAAGGTCCTTCCAACCCAAACTATTCTGAGGGGTGCTGTATGCCCATTAACAAGAGGCACTAACATTCAATGCAATAGATTTGTTCCTTGGCAAAGTTCCCAAGAGCAGGACTACCAGGTGCTACAGGCAATACTCCAGCCACTACAAGTTTATGGAAAGAAAGAGATGGAAATCACATTGAAATATTTTATACTGAAAAACAACATAAAGTTGAAATCTAGGGTATTTGCATTTTAGTCTTAAAAGTCCATTGCAATCAGAAGAGTCTCTTCATTGGCTTCAGAGATCTCAAGAGCAGGTTTTTTCATCACATAAAAATGCTACAACTGAATGAAAAAATGCTATCATTGGCAATAGATATCATAAAGTTAAGATGCTGTAAAGATAGCATTTAAACTATTGTTAATGGAGAGTTGAGCTAATATTAAGTTTATTAAATTGTTCATAAATTGCTAAGATTTATTTTTAAATAATAGTGAAACTACTCTTCTCAATTCCTCAAGCCCATTCATGCAATCATATTCTGCATATTTTCCAAGCTGTTGCTGAAAGCATCTAGGAATAACAGCCTCTACTGCCACAGGCAATGGCATTTTTCATGGTAGCCAAATTCCCCTTTCTGTACTCTGACCTTCCAGGCTTCTGCACAGAACTTCTGCACTCAGGACTCAGTCTTGCACACAGAAATCAAAATGTGCAGGACAAATGGGATTTAGTTGAAAAAAATGAAACAGTGTTGCCTATTTCCAGATTTGGATTGTCCTTTAATAAATACTAAATATTTATTAAGGGAGCATTGCAACAAAAAAGTTGTATTTTCCTTTTACATGAAAAGTTACTGGGGTTGTGTGGGGCAAGTGTCATTAAGTAGCTTAAAAATACATTGCAGTAAAAGGAGTAGGTTTTTTACATGGTGCCACAGAACTGTACCAGAAGGGAGCAACATCAGTTTGACTATCTTGAGCTATTTGGCTTCTTTTACTGCAACAAAAGCATTTATTAGAAAAATTATCCTGTAATGCTGTCTAAATGATGTACATAAGACTGAGGAAATGTATTGCATAAGTTTTGTCATAAAGCAGACTCTCCCAGCTCTCCTCCTAGAGAAGACAACTGGGAAAATAGTCCAAAAAGTGCTGGAGTCCTCCAAGACCTGTTCCCAAGGAAAGCACGGGATGCTGAGTAAGAGCAGCTGTTCAGCCCCAGAGGAAGTCCAGCCTCCCTTGTAGCAGCGTGGGGAAGAGCTCCTGCCTGCTTCTGTCCTCCCTTAATCCTGACAGAGCCAGTTTCACACTGTGGGGAGATAGCAGGGCAGGAATGGGGCAATCTACCTACTGAATTCCTGCAGAACTTGGGGCAGGAATAAAGGGAGAAGGTCCCCATCCTTCTGCTCTGCCCCTGCACCCCTGTGCCTCATGCAGGGGCCTCAGCTGGGTCCTGCCCTTGCCTGGGCTGGAATGTGCAGGCAGAATCCTTCTCCTCTTTAGTGGGGCTGTCCCCAGGGGCTGCAGAGGAGTCACTCAATGTCACTGTGCAGCACACAGCTAATGAGCCCACAAGAAACAAATTAGCTTGTCATATAGGGAAGAACATCATAATCTCAAACATTCAAAGTTGCTGTTTCTGTTTCCTTAAGAGAATCAATGTCATTTAAAAGGATGTAATAAAATCCATTTTAAGCAGAATTTAAAATGTGGTGTCCTACAATCAAAGCTGTTCCTACATAGAGAAAAAAATAAGTAATCTACTTGTAAATAGCTCCAAATCATAGTACTGTTGCTTCCCACAATCTCACCGTGAGTTTTATGATTGAGGGCTTTTAATAAAAACAGTCTGTGTAGTGAGACACCCAGGGTAGGTAAGCATCTCAAGTTTTGACGGAAAATAATTTATCTTGTGGTTTTGGAGAAGAGCTCAGAGAGAAACCTATTAATGTTTATAGGACCAGAAATCAAATCAAAGGAACCTGAGAAGAGAGAATTTTCACATCTAACACGTGTCAGAGTCAATCCATGATTCTTAGGTATACTATTATTGTTTGAAGAGCTTTAAATGAAGAAGTCAGAACACTTTTGTATAATCTACCTTCAGATACAGTGCCAGGTGCCGCATTTGGTCTAAAGGAAAACAGTTTGTGACACCTAGTGGAGGAGAAGAAAATTTCTTACGCTGCATTTTATTCTTCCTAATCATATTCCAATGCCCCCCCCCCTTTTTTATGTTTTGCCTACCTATTGTGATAAATTTTATGATAAAATACCATTAATCTTGTGAATGTTGTGTGCCTGAGGCATGTGCATGGGACAAAAGACAGCTGCTTCCTTTCCTACTGCAAATTATTTGAAATCTGATTTACCCTGAACAAACTGTGTCAGGCTGTAAATCCATTGCAGAGCCCCATGATATCAGCAGAATAGCAGTGCCTGTGGCCAATCTGCATATCTAGTGGATATTTTTGCTCAGTGTTCTTTAAAGTAATACTGAGTTTGACTAACCCCCAAGTCAAAGTATGTTAATGTCAAATCACTCAAGCGTGTAATGGCTGGCTGAGTCTGTCCTGGCAAGCTCTGATACTACAGTAGCTCTCAGCAGCTGCTCCTGACACAACCAATTATCACTGGTATTAATAACTGTGCCTGCACACTTGACACAGCTCCCAGTCCTATAGCTGAGCACCTTGTCAATCAGAAGCTGCACTTAGGCCTAACCAGTCCCAACTTCCCTTCCTCCCCAAAACCAGTGTCTATTGTAGCTGTGCTGGCTCCCTGGGCTCTGGAAATCCGGGTGTCCTTAGAGCTTGCCAAGGTGAGTAATGGAACTGGAAGTCTCTCTCTTGAGCTGTCAGCAGGCGTATTGATTAGAAATGAACACCTAGCAAAACAGCTTCCTGCTTTTTCATTTCCTGCCATGCATCACTTCACTGTAACAGGGATACTCAGAGGTGCCATGTCTCCAGGACTCCACTGGCTCACCTCCTGATTTGTCATTAGCTGATGGGACCTGTTAGCTCTGGACTCCATTTTCACCTCTTAAATTGCAGTTGCAGGAGAGGTGGATCTAATTTCTCTTTAGGATCCCGTCATTAAACTCCCATGGATGTGGGATAAAGGTGTGGATCAGTCATCACCAAATGCCTCAGGGATAATCATTTCCGTGTGCTTCTCCCCTTGCTTAGTAAAGCTGGCTTGTCCTAGGGAGAGCAGCACAGTGTAGCCCTCTGCCTTCACCAACAATGTGCCTTCGTACCTTAGGACCGAAGGAGGAGTTTCTAAAGGTGCCACCGTTGGTGTTCTCCTGGATCTGAACAAGCACAACCTGACCTTTTACATCAATGGGCAGCAGCAGGGGCCTCCAGCATTTGAGAACATCGAGGGTGTCTTCATGCCTGCACTGAGCCTCAATCGAAACGTCCAGGTAAATCTGCTGCAGCCCAGCCCCACTTACCTTTTTCCACTAAAGGAACTGATAAAGGAGCTGATAGCATCATCCATAGGTAGTACAGATAGGGGTTCTGTCCTGCTCAGGCTTACATCTAGGCTACTCACACTTTTTGAACTACTTCTGCCTTGCCTGACCAATGTGAAGAGTAATGATGTAAAACAAGTAAAAGTACCTGCACACACTAATTGGAAAGCAGTGTCTCTAAAGCCCTTCCCTGCCACTTTGACTAAAAACTATCTTAATTCCTCCTACATCTCATGTTTGGAGATAATTAATGTTGGCAAATGACTGATGTATGAGCAGCACAGTAGTAAGGAAAGCAAAGGCAACATAGGTCAGAGAATTAGCACAACAGAGAAGACTCAGTCAGATCATCATTCTTGTGCTCTGTGTACAAGAGGTTTTCCTCTTGGAGGAACTGTCTTTAAATATAACACATTTTTACTTCAAGAAACTGGATGTGGTATAAGAGAGAACCTGTGGAAATACCCAGGAGCCTGAGGAATGAAGGTCAGGCAGGACCAAGACAGCCAGGGTAGAACACTTACCATGTACATGGGCTGCACTGCATGACCTCTGTCCTGAAGCACTCGGGGTCCCTCATGCAGAGATCCCACCCACCTTGTCCCTAGCAAGCAGCACTTCTGGATACCTTCAACTGGTGGCTAGGTTTGGGAAAAGATACAGACACCTGGCTTCTCAGTCCCAAGGTATCCAGGATGGAAGGGGGAAAGAGACTTGTTTATTTCAAAGATTAGATATCATCTCCATTAGTAGTTTTGATTTTAACTATGACCTGCAGTCCCACAGCCCTTTCCATGTAATTTACCTGCACTTTGCCTTCACAAATGCTCTTCGCTGAGGATGTCTGAGTTTTGAATCTAATGTTATTTCTTCTTTGTGCAGGTGACCCTGCACACAGGACTGGAAGTGCCACAATCTGTAAAACAGCCCAAGTTGCCCAACAACTAGTGAAGCCCCCGTCTGACACTGTGCTGGATTCTGTAAGCTTTTTCAGTGTGTTTTGGCACTTTTCAGTAAGTCAGTAAAAAAGCATCCTCTTCCCTGACTTAAAACACTGTGCAGCATGCTGCTCACCAGCTGGTTAGAGCTAGGCCACTCCATTTTCAATTTAGCAGCCATAGCAAGCACATCCACTGGACTGGCACTCGACTGCAGATGGGTACCTGAACATACCTACTCTGCATTGCATCCATACGTACACTCATGTGCACACACACACACGAACACATCTGTAAAGCAAAAGGTTAAATGAGTGTATTTCCTCTCTCATGGCCGGATTTGTGCTTAAATATTAGGGATGCTGGAAAAAATGGGTGAGGCTGAAGGACAATGGATGTTGGAGCGGTTTACCAGCAAGATGAACTGGATTCCCTTGCCACCTGAAGTCCTTAAATAAAGCAAGCATATGTTTTGACAGCTGAAGCAGAGGTTATATGCTCAAGAATTCGTGGTTGTCAATTACATTTGGGGGCTCAAATGGCCATGAATTATTCCTTCTGGCTCTAGAGTGCAGTAAGCTATAGGATAATGTCCCCTTAGAATTCAGTGGCAGAACTTATTATCTACAATGAGAACAAGATTGATTCCCAAACGCTGCCATGAAATAGCTGGGCTCATTGTAGCTAACACCATGATACATGCAGAATTCAGGTACAGAAAGTCAGAAGAAAAACATCCTTGATGCATTTTAGTGTTTGTTATTTAGGCATGACTGCGGAGACTCTTACAGATCTGATTGTGGTTATCAGCACAACTCTTGAAAAACAGTGCATGGGAGATTCCTTTGAACTGAAATGATAAGAGATTATTTAAATATGGCACACGCAAAGTCTCCCACATTGAGAAATGCTGCTTTCCAGCCTTGATCCTGATGAAACCTGTGCAGCTGTAGTTCCAATGTAGCTTTGAGATCTGAAGCCTTAATTTTCTATTAGATTACTGTGAGCTAATTAATGTCTTGATCCTAATGAAACACATGAGAAAGATTAATAGCAGTAATGCAAAACCTGTCCCTAAGAATTTTTCTGGATTGGGACATAAATCTTTTGCAAGACTTGACCTGTGCCTGGCATCTCCCACAAAAGTGAGCAGCTATTCCAGGTGCTGCCTGTGACAACTGAAGTCTGACTGACAGTGATCTTTTCTCACAGCCATGGCACTGTCACCTGCATGCAGTTGTCAGAAAACCAAACATTGGTTTGCCTGTGTGCTTAGTTTCCTCTAACCTGGTTAGTGTATGCAAGTGTGTGTGTATAGTGGCAATGCATGAGGACCAGATGCAGCAGACTTGGTGAGCCCATGACATCTTGGACTCTTGTCACTCTAACCCTATAGAAGTGTGGTGCTATCGAACAAGAAAAGCATAAACTCTCAAATCCTATCAATGTACTATTTCCTTTTTTTAAATCCTGCTGCTTATACAAATTTTCCTCTTCGAGCATACATATACGCACACGCATATTGTTATCAGGCATATAATTATTAAACCTGAAAACAAATATTCTAACCAAAACCCAGCTTACTGCTTTGCATTAAAACACAGCCACAGGACAAACAGCCGAGGCCTGCCTTCAGGCGGTCTGCCAGCCCCCAGATATCCTGCTGCAGGCTACTTCTGGTCTCTGTCTGGAGCACATCACTCAGGTAGTGCTGAGTGATGGCAAGGCTTCCCTGTGGCAAAGCAGCCAGAATCCTCACGTGGGTCGTCCCACCTCACAGTCATTGTGGGAAGGGAAAGGCAACCCAGAACAGAACTGGGCTATTGCACAGACACAGAGCAGTCTGCCATCCTGCTGCCTGTAACCAACCAAGCATCCTGTAGCCCACCTCTCCTGCAGAACAGCAGCGCACCTTCAGCAACATCAAGACTGAAATAGGATATAAAACCAACGATGGAAAAAAAATAACATATGCTTTTAAGTGAGGAAGCAACAGTGCTTCCTTTAAAGTCTGGAACAGATTGTATCAGTAAACTCGTAGACAATGGAATAACTGTGCTATGCTTATCTTGGTTTTGTAAAGAATGTCAGAGACCAACTGTGTTATAATCTTCGGTTTCATTCAATACCATACGAACTCATGCAAGATTTTCTAATTAGCAGGTCTGTTTTAACCTACCTCAGCTAGAGCGCTACCAGACCCCAAATTTCCTCGAGTGTGCTCTTCTGTGAACCTAACAGTTGTAATCATAACGTTGGCTTTGAGTATTGCCAGTCAGAGTAGTGTATGGGAATATTGTACATAAATTGCACATAGTTTTTTATATTGGGAAACATCCTGTGGTAATTTTAATATGGAAGGCACTCCACTTTCACTTTTATTAAAAAAGCCAGGGCATTGTTGTTTTGGCACAGAACCTTTGTCTTTACTCCCAACTTCTGTAAATGAAACTCAAATGAATTTACATCTTTCTGATCTTCAACCATTGCCAGATGTTTAAAATTAATTCTGAACGGGTTTTAGAAGTGTTTGCAGTACTCAGTTTTTGTTTTCATAGTTGCTTTGACGTCAGTTCCTGGTGTATTTGTATCTTGGGGAGAATACACTGACATGTTGTTAATTTCTAATGAACATATGGACATTAGGTAAGAACAGTGAATAGAGAAGCTCAGTTTTTACCCTCTACACATCTAACACTCACAAAAGTAGGGTAGCTACCATTATACCCTCCTTTTAACCTAGCAGAAATGCAAATAAGTTAAAAGGAATACAGTTAGAAATAGGCTACCTGCATTAGTAAGACTACTTTACCTTAGGTCAAAAACTAAACAAAGTGTTTGCATGTGTTGGTTGTGTACACATCAAGGATTTACATTTGGCATGGCCTGTAGCAATAAACCAGTTATCCTCATAGAGTGCACTCTTATGACTCCAGCTGGATACATTTTCATAGTTTGATTAACAGAAATAATGCTTAAGTAGTTAAAATTACTCTAGGAAACTAACAATTCCACACATTAATATTTATGCAGAGCATGCCGGGGCTGTCTGAACACAAAGCAGAGCAGAATTTTCCCTTTGCAGAGCAGCCTTAGGTGGGGAGAGGTGAGGCACTCCCACTGCTCTGCTCAGGCTGGAGGTACTTTCCTTCTCTGCAGGCAACTTCCCCAAGGTCCATCTCATTATAAACCCAGCAGTTTGCATGTTCTTCATCTATAGTATCTCTTATGCCAGTTTTTGTTTCCTCCAAATCCTTTCTTTAGGAGAGAGTCAGCCTTTAGTCCCTGCAGAAGTTTTGTTGCTGACTGTCAAGGGAGAACCCAGAGAGCAGAAGAGTGGCATAGATACCCAAGGGGACCACTTTGTGTGCTCTTCTTCCTTTTGTTCCCTCAGAGTATTTCTGCAGCTCTCTGGGGCTCCAAGCTCCTCTGGCACCTGGACCCACACAAAGCTGCCTGTCATGGGACCCTTTAGCTCCTAGAGGCCAGGTTGCTTCTTATAAGCAGGAGAGCAAAAGCCTTTTGCACTGGGATAAATCCCATCCACTATGGTACAGAGCCCACACGAGGTAGCTGTAAATTGACTTAACATTTAAAAAAACCTACCAAAACACAAAACCCACAAACACAATCTCGCCTTATTAACAAAACAAAGTTTGACTTCTGCATACACCAATATGGAACCTCTGAACAGCTGCAAAATTAATACAGCACTTGAACTTTCTGTCCTGCAGAGCAACAAAGGACTCTCAGTTTTCACCTACCCCTGGGAGCCCCAGCCTTAGCCTTTTGTAAACCTTCTTCCTGGCTCTTTCCTCTGTGAATTTCCATTAAGTTCAGAAGCACTGTCAGACTTCCCAAGGCATGCAATGCTATACAAATTCCACTTCCTTCTTTTCCCTCATCAACTTGAAAAATGCTCACAAGATCTCTTACTAAGACTTAATGTCAATATAAGCACACATGTAGCTGACAATCCCTTGCTCCTTCTACTGTGGAAAGGTATGTGCTATAAAATAAATCTTAGTGAGGACAGTAGCATACTGTGATGTATTACAAATTTGGAAAGCAATTTGGTTTCTAAAAACATAGAAAAGATAGGCAAACAGCACTGTCACCTCTTATTCTTGCCTATGCACTTAACATACATAGAGGAAAATATATTGGACTGAACAAAATAAATTAAATAAGCATGAGCTTACATTTATCAGAGTTTAAGAGGAAAAGTATTAAATGTAATTTATTATATGCATAACGTTCCATCATGTTGTAAATAATGCCATGATAGTGTATTGCTGTAGTTTGTTCTTGGCTGGTGATAGAGTTCTGTGGTAGTGCTGTGTAAGTTGTTTTTATTTTTTTTTTTCCCTCAAAGCATAGTTAGCAAAGATGGCAGAGACCACCCCACACTCTGGTTTCCCAGTTGTTCTAGAGCAAGAAGAAATGTGAGATGCAACCTGGGAACAGCAGCTTTCTGGTGCCATCTAGCATGTCCTTTGGTCATAAAACAGAAAGATGAGGAAGGAGAGTTGTTAGACCTTATCTCAGGCCTTACGAGCTTTGCAGCATTCTGCTTAAATAGCAAAACCAAGAATTCAATTTTGAACCAGGCAAGATAATATGAAAACACCGAGCATCTTGGCTAGATCAACTTTGGAAGGGAGATTACAGTTACAAATCAACCACATCGGAAACGTAAAGGGCACTTGTCACTGAAAATTACCAGACAAAGATGGAGAGTCCTTCCAGTATTTTTTTTAGGAAAAAAAAAGTGAGCTGCTTCTAGTTTTTACTGACAACATTTCTGGTGGTTCCTCTGCCCAGCTCAACTGAATGCTGCACACACACAGCCAGGTGGAGCAGCAGCCTGAAGCACAAATCCATCATTAGTCAGACACACTTGGTCTTCTCAGGTGCAGAAGCCCATATGCAAACCTCAGAGACTGTATGTGTGGGGCTCCTGCATCTTTGCACAATACAGGAGACAGACGGTGTGTTTCACTGACAGAG